TGGTTTTCAGTGACATAAATGAGGAAGGGCCATGTGAGATCGGGTAAGTGTAAGGCAGGGGCCTGTAGAATAGCCTGTTGGCGCTTGTGTTATTGGGAGGTGACTGGGGTAATGAGAGGCTCTTGGAGGGATCCCTTTGTGGCTTTGTAGAATGGTCAGGCTAGAAGGGAGAAATTTAAAATCCATGAGCATAGGACTCCTGTCAGACCTAAAAAGAATTTCTTCTTTGGTAGAAGGAGGTAGGGGGGGCCGGCGCTATGGCTCACTTGGTTAATCCTCCGCCTGTGGTGCCAGCATCCCATATGGGTGCCAGGTTCTAGTCCCAGTTGCTCCTCTTCCAGTCCAGCTCTCTGCTGTGGCCTGGGAGGGCAGTGGAGGATGGCCCAAGTGCTTGGGCCCCTGTACCTACATGGGAGACTAGGAAGAAACACCTGGCTCCTAGCTTTAGATTGGCGCTTCGCTGGCCGTAGTGGCCATTTGGGGGTGAACCAACAGAAGGAAGACCTTTCTCTCTGTCTCTCTCTCTCACTATCTATAACTCTACCTGTCAAATACAAAATTAAAAAAAAAAAAAAGGAGGTGGGAGGTTAGTTATTAGGTGCCTTCTGTCTATGGTGATAGCCTTGTAAGTGGGAGTGAGGTGTACACCAAGATGTGTTACCTCAAACAAGAAAAGCTTTGCCTTGGTGAAGGATACTTGGTAACCCTTGGCTTCTGGGACATTAAAAGTAGCCTTCTGCAGTGGAGGATGGCCCAAGTGCTTGGGCCCTGCACCCCATGGGAAACTAGGAGAAGCACCTGGCTCCTACCTTTGGATCAGCGCGCCAGCCGTGGCAGCCATTGGAGGGTGAACCAACGGCAAAAGGAAGACCTTTCTCTCTCTGTCTCTCTCTCTCACTATCCACTCTGCCTGTCAAAAAAAAAAAAAAAAAAAAAAAAGAGTAGACTTCTGTTGTTCCATGTTTGAAGGACTGCAAAGGAGGAGGTCATCAGCATACTGGAGAAGGAAGGAGGGGTTTAAATCAAGAGTGCCTAGATCATTGGCTAGGGCTTGAACAAACAAATGGGGATTGTCTCTGAATCCCTGGAGGAGAACAGTGCAGGTTAATTGAGTGTAATGAAACAATTTCTGGCCGTTATGCCATTTGGAGAGTTGTAGTTCCAGTTGGGGTCCTGTTCTTGAACTGCATCTGCACTTACGGGATGAGCAGGGTCAGTTTGATGGGTTTCATCAGCCCGGAGATGGGCCTGATCCCAAACTCACCTTCGCTTCTCTGGAAGGAGGGGATTCGAGAGGATCATAAAGACATTGTGAAAAGTTAAATCATAGGACTGGTTAGATATTGAAACTCTTTAATGTATGACACTGGGTTAGAGTTGAAGGAACTCAGTTGTTGTTTGATTTGTGAGAGAGATCAGCAAGTGAGGAAGGAACATGAACCCTGACTGTGCGCTCCATTCCCACCACCTCTGGAAAGGGCAACATGGAGGCAGGTTCCCTAGCTGCTGTGCAGGAGCGAATGACTTGGGGACTGGGCACAGGAAAGGGAGGGTCAAGGGCTTGAAGCGGTGGTGGCAGAGCGGGTATACCATGTTGAATTAGCAGAATGGGGGAGGGAAAGTTGGAGCAAGGACTGGGTTTGAGATAAGGAAGGAGGAGGAGGAGCAGGGGGAATAGAAATGAACAAGGGCTGGTTTTGAGATAAGGGCAAGCAGAAGACAGGGAGTAGAAACATGCTGCCTCCTGGAATTTCTGGGTGGGACAGAGAGCTATAGTGAGAACCAGAGCAGATACAGATGTCACCTCCTGAAATTCCTGGGCAAGAGGGGGAGGTGCCAACGAGACAGTGAGAACCAGAGCAGACAGTGGGCTTTGAGATTGTTGAGTGGGAGCTAATCGTTTCGGGCCCGAGCAGAAAAGGGCTGAGCTGGTGTCTGCGGTCAGGGGTGCAAGGTGGGGGCTCATCCACAGGATCGAATGTAGAACAAAGGGGTTTTGGCCAGTGCTGTGGCTTAGCGGGTAAAGCTGCCGCCTGCAGTGCCGGCATCCCATAAGGGTGCTGGTTTGAGTCCTGGCTGCTCCACTTCCAATCCAGCTCTCTGCTATGGCCTGGGAAAGCAGTAGAAGATGGCCCAAGTCCTTGGGCCCCTGCACCCGTATGGGAGACCTAAAAGAAGCTCCTGGCTCTCCTGGCTTCAGAATGGTGCAGCTCTGGTTGTTGTGGCCACCTGGGGAGTGAGCCAGCAGATGGAAGACTCTCTATCTCTCTCTCTTTCTCTCTGTAACTCTGCCTTTCAAATAAATCTATTAAAAAAAAAAAAAAAGAACAAAAGGTGTTTTGGATCTGGCCCTGGGTCTTTAGTAGTAGCCTTAGTGACCAAGAGTACCTGAGTCAGGGAACATGAAATGCAGAGAGAAGGTTTAGACGTGAGATAGAAGAAAGCTTGAATGTAGAGAATCCCCTTCCACTTCCCTGAACACTCACAGAAGTGGTAGAGAGCCCTAAGAATGTTGGGTCAAACATGCTGTTAAGCGGCCATTTGGACTAGTTGTTGAAAGGTCATACCTGGGCTGTGCCTGATTACAAAGAAAGATGAGGTGATGGCGTTTGAAATCCAGTGCCAGTTTGAGAGGAACAAGATTATTTAGGAGACAGCTGAAGGGAGAGTCAGACAGAACATGGGATGTGGAAGCTCTCGTAGCAAACTGAGTGGTCGGATTGGCAGATAGTGAGCGTCCCTGAGATCACGGCAGTTGTACAAGAAGAGTAAGGGAGCAAAGGATTGGGGTTGTCACCTGCATGTACTGGAGCCCAGGCGTAAAACCCATAGAAGGGAGGCAGAGGGTTGAGCTGTCATCCACACCCACTGTTGCCTGGGATGCAAATTCTGTAGAGAGGCAGGAGGCTGTAGGAGTTGTGGTACCTGGTACCAGGACTTCGAGGCAAAGTCACATAGAACCACAACCCACAGAATGTCAGAATGAGAGAATCCTCCGCCCACCCCGTCTTACCTCAGAACTTTTGAAGGGCTAGTGGATGGAAATCAGAGAGTTCAGTGTTGAAGAAGGAGGTCCAGGGGGTGGTTTTGTGTTTGGCAGGAATCCAGAATCCTGAAGTACCTCAGATTCCTGAGGGGAGAGCAAGGATCCAATTCATGGCACCAACGAAAAGCCACAAAACATACCAAATCCCAGAATAAAGATTTATTGTCAGCCAGCAAGGCTGTCTCTCTGTACACAAGAGACGGCAGCAGCCTGCACTAGAAGAGCAAGTCTTACATAGTTTAGCAGAGGTAAGGGAGTAAGAATAGCAGATTCCACTGGCTGGGCAAAAGCAATGCATATGATTGGGCCTTGTGGTCACTTGATTTCTGGTAAACCAGGCTGGATTTTGGAAACTGAAACTTATTGTACAAAATGGTGACTGGACCAGAGCCTACAATGGTGCCTGAGGCTTAAGATGGCCTCAGATAAGATGGCACCGGTTTCACTAACTATTACAAGTTAATTTCACAGTCTAAAATTTCAGTTCTCTTGAAAAATCTAAAAATTTAGTAACTTTGGGTCCATCTCAGCTAGAGCTACATTCCTGATTCCCAGCAAGTGCCACAGTTGTTCCTCTTCGTTTCTTCATTTTAAACCTCTGGACCTAATCTGTGTTTATTTTCTCTACCTGACTTTGTAGTCCTTGGTGTTTGCTGCTTTGCTTACAGGACTTAATGGAAGAATAGATACTTACTAGTCATGCATCTTTGGGCATGCCCCAGTGTCCTTGTCTTTAAAGGTAGTATTATTGTTATTGCCATTCTTTCTTCTGGTGTACATGTTAAGTAAATGTACTTTCATGTAAATACTAGGGTCTGTAAAGAATGTAAGGAATACAGTTTAACAACAAGAAACAAACAACCCACTTTAAAGCTGAGCAAAAGAAGTTCAATAGACATTTCTCCCAGGATGATAAACCAATGGCTGCCCCACACTAGAAAAGCTGCCCAGTATCACCAGTCACTAGAAAAATGCAAATCAGAACCACAGTGAGACACCCCTCCACACCTGCTGTTATACTTCTCATCCAAAAAAACCCCAGAACAACCAGCCTTGGTGAGGACGTGGAGAAATTGGAATCATTGTACATTGCTGGTGGAAAATGATGCAGCCACTATGGCAAAGAGTGTACCACTTCCTCAGAAAATAAAAAATCAGTTTATCATATCATCAAGAATTCAGTTTCTGGTTCTGTACTCAAAAGTGTTGAAAGCAGAGACCTGAAGAAACATTTATACATCTATGTTCACAGCAGCATTATTCACATCAGCAAAATGCTATACACAACCAGTGGGACGTTAATCAGCCATACAAGTAAGGACTTCTTATATATGCTACATCAAGGATGAGCCTTGAAAAACTTAATGCTGGATAAAATAAGCCAGTCAGAAAAAAGACAAATACTTATGTGAAGTACCTAGAGCAGTCAAATTGGTAGAGAACAGAAGTTGCCAGAGGCTGGGGAAGGAAGGAATGGAAATTTTTATTCCTTGGTAGATTCAGAGTTTCATTTTGGGAAGATGAAAAAGTTATGGTGATGGTTGCAAAGCAGTATGGTTGTAATTAATGCCACTCAACTGTGTACCTAAAATGCACCAAATGGTAACCCATGGGTATAGTTACCACAATAAAAATGCATAAAAGAGCGGTACTAGTTAGTTCTATGTGTGGGATGAGGAGCCTTGTAAAAAGTAACTAATCAAAATAAAAGTTCTTTTAATATTTATTCTTACTGAAAAGATGTTTTGAAATGCTAAATAGATTTTTAAGAAAATGTTTTGAGAATAAAAGAAACGAGATTAGTGGAGATTATTTGGACTGTGACATATCAATGGGAGTCATTTTATCTTTTTTATATGATTCTTTTTTCTAATTATCAACAGAACTGTTGACATTTACATCTCTGAATTAAATATAAGTGTTGATTCCATTAAACTTTATATTTTCTTCCTAGGTTACGTTTAAGTCCAGCTGCCCGCAATATTCTGGAAAAACATGCACTGGATGCTGGCCAGGGCACAGCCACTGGGCCTCGGGGAATATTCACTAAAGAGTAGGTATATGCTTTTTGTAATAGCCAATTCCATTATTTGTCATGATCATCTTTTTTCTGGAAGAATTTCAAAAGAGCTTATTCAGTGTTAACATTTAAAAAGGTTTGCTGTTCTTTTGTAATTTTAATTGCCTTTGTCTCTGTAAATTATATGTATTTTTTTTTCTGAGTAATTGCCCCATTATTGAAGAACAGTTCTAATTTGCTAACAAGGCCAGATCCTTAGAAATAGTAATAAATGCAGAAAACTAAAGTGCAGAACAGTGAAATTTTATATTGTTTTAAGGTTGTGTGAAATCACAGAATTGCATTTAAATTTCTAAACCATAGGAGCAAGCATCATAGCACCACTTGAGACACCAGCATACCCTATCTGAGTTCTGATTCAAGGTCTGGCTGCTCCACTTCCAATCAGGCTTCCTACTTATGTGCCTAGGAAGGCAACAGGTGATGGCTCAAGTGGTTAGGCCTCTAAAAATGTATACTACTAACTCATGGACAGATGAAATATCCATCCATCTTATCTATGTATCTATCTATCTATCATCTGTTTCTCCCATTCGTATCACACTATACCTTTCAATTAGATGATAATAAATGAACCTTTAAAAAGAATTTTTTAGATATTGAAATATATATATGTATATATAAATGTTTTAAAGATTTACTTATTTGTCTGAAAAGCAGAGTTACAAAGAGAGAAGGAAAGATATATTAGAGAGATCTTCCATCTGCTGGTGAACTCTCCAAATGGCCACAATGACCTAGGCTGAGACCAGGAGCCAAGAGGTTCTTCCTGGTCTGCCACATGGGTGCATGGTTGCTTTCCCAGACATTTTAGCAGGGAGCTAGATCAGAAGTGGAGCAGCCAGGACTCAAATTGGTGCCCATGCGGGATGCCAGCACTATAGGCCACTGTTTAACCTGCTGTGCCACACTGCTCGCCCCAGAATTTTTGTTGTTTTTGTTTTAAGATTTATGTATTTGAGAGGCAGAGGCAGATATATCCGCTGGTTTACTACCCAGATGGCTGTAAAGGTAAGAGCTGCCTGAAGCTTCCTCCAGGTCTCCCATGCAGGTGCAGGGGCTGAAGGACTTGAGCCATCTTCACTGCTTTCCCATCTATAGCAGAGAGCTGGATAGGAAGAGGAGCTGCTGGGACTGTAACCAGCCCCCATATGGGATGCCAGCATTGCAGGTGGCAGCCTTATCCACTATGCCACAGTGCCAGCCCCCGGAAATATATTTTTAAAATAATTTTATCCTTACCCATTTGGATTTTATTCAGTGGTAATGTTACCAAGCATTTTCTATAGTCAGTTGGGTGTTCTTTGGATTTCCTTTCCTATTTCACATGTCCATCTGTCTATGAGTTAGCATTATATTTTTTTAGTACTGCAAATTTCTTTTCCTTGCTCTTTGTTTTTAATAAACCAGCTTTTTTTTGGTTTATTCTTTTAAAATTATTCTTCCAAGTGGATTTTAAGCTATTCTTCTAGCTCTATGAATGAGTTGCAGATATAAACCGTGGTATTTTTATGGGATTTTGTCACATTTTAACAAACCCAATGAGAATTGACATCTTTATGATGAGCATTTGTATTCAGGAAACACTGGTATGTCTTTCCATTTGTTTAAATTATTGGATCTTTCTAGAGTATACTAAAACAGATGTGCCATATTGTGTTGAGAAGACAAAGATTAAGTGATAGGCTTGTAAACTAACGTAGAATCACAGTATTTTGTTCTATATTTCCATTGGCAGTAAGTAGTAAATCTTTCAAATTGAGTAAATGTTTTAAAACAATGTACTATTCTATTTTTAGTTAACATTTATAAGAAATGTCACTGGCCATAATTTTTATAAATTGAGATAGATGAAATTATTAAGTGACAGTTCTAAACCAGGTGACTTTTTCCCCTGCTGTGGTATTGTACCCTTCATGAAAACACTGATTTACTGTTGGGTGTTTCTTGTATTGAAAGCAGCATAGCAACTTCTTAAATATCTTTATTGATTTGTTGACCAGATTTTTGTGTGTGGTTCTTTTACACACATACCGTGGAGCTCATGCCATACTACATGAGTAGGAAATCAGCTGTCCTGAAGGCTGATTGAAGCCAACACCCCAGACTGTGGACTTTTTTAAAAAAAAAGATGTATTTATTTATTTGATAGGCAGGGTTATAGAGAGAGAGAAAGAGAGAGATCTTTCATCCGCTATTTCCTTCACCAACTCGCTGCAACTGCCAGAGCTGGGCGTGTCCAAAGCAGGAGCTGGGAGCTTCTGTGGGATCTCCCACCTAGGTCCCAGCTGCTGCACTTCTGATCCAACTTCCTGGTAATGTGCCTTGGAAAGCAGTGGAAGATGTTAAACTGCTTTGGCCCCTGCACCCACGTGGGAGACCCAGAAGAAACTCCTATCTTCTCGCTTTGGCCTGGCCCAACCCTGGCTGTTATGGCCTTTGGGGAATAAAGCAGATGGAAGATTCTCTCTCTCTCTCTCTCTCTCTCTCTCTCCCCCCCCCTCTCTCCCTCTCTCTCTCCCCCCTCTCTCCCTCTCCCCCTCTCTCCCTCTCTCCCTCTCCCCCTCTCTCCCTCTCTCCCTCTCTCCCTCTCCCTCTCTCTCCCTCTCTCCTCACCCCCCTCCCCCATTGTATCTCTGCCTTTCAAATAAATAAATAAATCCTTAAAAAAATGGTGAGAGATGTCCTTCTCCCTTGCCAATTGAAAGTTGAAGTGCAGTAGAATGGTAAGTTCCAATGCTAAGGAAGTTCCTCCAGTTCATTGTATTTGTGAAGAAAATCACTACTGTCAGGATTGCTTTGTAAATTTAGCATTACAACATACTGCTCAGGATACATGTTCTAATATGCGACTGTTTCAGGAAAGGGCCAGAGCCACAGTTAGAGCAGGACACATTAAGGTTTTTGCCTGCAGGCTCAATGTCCTTGGGATATCTAAGTCAAAAATTGTAAATAGTAGCTAATGTTTATATTTATATCATAGTATCCAAAGTCTGGTAAGCATGACAGACAAGTGTCTACTTTGTTTTTATGATACTCCTTTCCAGTATGCGTCATGGCCTAAACAAATCGCTCTTTGAGAGATTATGGAAGAGAAAGTTTACCCTGAGTGAATTTCCAGGGCGTATGCACTGCCTTTCTGCAGATGTGTGTCATGTGTTTGTCTCCTGTTTTGTTCTAACAGCTTTTACTGTCCTCCTCACTCTTCAAGTTCAGTCTAATTAGTTATTTCATGTACAGAAATGTTAAAATTATGCCCTGCATTACAGAAACATTAAGTTGTTGTGTATGATTTATATATATATATATTTCATGAGGTATGTGAGTATAAAATCAGTTATAAAAGTAATTTTGTATAAAAGTGAACCAGTGGCTGTGGTTGGTTTTTCCTTGATTGTTTATAATCAATGACTCCAGTTTTCTTTTATTCTTCATGAAGTGTTTTATCCAAAAATCTTCTTTTTTGCCTTTTTAATTACTACTTTAAAATATCTCAAATAATATAGAAAAGTATAAAGAAGAGTTCAATGAGCACACATAAATTTAACAGTTTCAAACATGTTGCTGTGTATACTTTATATGTAAATATTATATATTTATACACTACTTTTCTTGAAAGCAGGGATAGTTACATTAACATTACATAAAATGGGATTCAATCAAAAAGTAAGGAAAGAAGGACATATTACTATGTAAAGCATATAATTCAGTAAATATAATCACAAATATTATAATTTGGTATGATGATAATATGGCATCTACATTTTTTAAAATATCCTGTCTATATATTAATTTCCACTTCTGAGAGAAAATGTGGGATTTCTCTTTGTGTCTGGGTTATTTCATTTCATTTATTTTACAGTTCCACCCATTTTGGTGCAGATATCAGTATTTCATTCTTCTTTATGGCTGAGTAATATTCTAGTGTGTGTGTATGTTATATAATATAGATAATATAATATACACACCACATTTTCTACTTCATTCATCCACTGTTAGACATCTGCATTGGTTCTGTATCTTTACTATTGCAAATATTGTGAATAGGGCTGCAGTAAACATGGAACACAGATTTCTTTTTCATATCCCAACTTTATTTTCTTTGGCTATATTCCCAGAAGTAGGATAGCTGGGTCATACGGTAGACCTATTTTTAGTTTTTAGAGGGATCTCTGTACTGCTTTCCATAATGGTTGGACTAATTTGTATTCCCATCAGCAGTGTATTAGGTCTCCTATTCTCCACATCCTCACCAGTATTTGTTGTTTTTTGACTTTTGGATAATAGCCATTCTAACTGGAGTGAAATGATACCTCATTAGATACTTTTTTTTTTTTAAGATTTATTTTATTTATTTGAAAGAGTTACAGAGAGAGGTAGAGCCAGAGAGAGAGAGAGAGAGAGGTCTTCCATCTGCTGGTTCACTCCCCAGATGAATGCAATGGCCAGAGCTGGGCTGATAGGAAGCCAGGAACTTCTTCCAGGTCTCTCACATGGGTGCCGGGGCCCAAGGATTTGGGCCATCTTCCACTGCTTTCCCAGGCCATAGCAGAGAGCTGTATTGGAAGTGGAGCAACTTGGACTCAAACTGGCACCCATATGGGATGCTGGTGCTGCAAGCTGGGGCTTTAACCCTTTGAACCACAATGCTGGCCCCCACCTCATTGTCATTTTTATTTGCAGTTTCTGGATGGTTGGTGATACTGATCTTTTATTTTCTTTCATGTATTTCTTGGCCATTTTTATTTCTTCATTTAAAAAGTACTTATTTAGATCTTTGCTCATTTCTTAACTGGATTATTTTGTGGCTGAATCTCTTGTGCTTATTAAATATATTCTATATATTTTAGATATCCTTTACCAGATGCATGGTTTTCAAATATTTTCTCTCATTTTGTTAGTTGTCAGTTCACTCTGTTGATTGTTGCCTTTGCTATGCAGAAGCTTCTTAGTTTTATAGAGTCCAATTGGTGTACTTTTGCTTTTATTGCCTTTTGAGGTCTTATCCAAAATGTCATTGCCTATATCAGTGTCATAGAATGTTTCCTGTATGTTTTCCTCTAGTAACTTCTTAATTACCACAAGGATAAAACCAAACTGCCTTTTTCTTGGTAAAATAGTAATGGCCTGATAGTGAGATAAAAGTATATCTAGCTTCATCAACCTTTTTGAGAATAAAAATATTCAGGTATTGGCAATGTAGAGTTTTGGAGTTCTCCCCATGTTCATTTTTGTTTGTTTGTTTTTAATTAATGACTAAGGGTCCCATATAAAAGGAAATCAATGTGTTTGGAATTGCTTCAAAACCCAGATAATGAATTTTATTAGAGAGGTATTTAATTACCCTACATAAAATTGAAAGAGTAATAATGATATGCTGTGATTTTTAGGAGCTCTTAGAAGCTGAATTTCTTTTGTTGAAGGTATTTTTCTCAATCAACATATGGCCTTGTTTTCGCATCAGTGCTGAGACTTTTCAATCTGATCAGGATTTTGGCTGATGATAAAGGCCCCAGGGATTGTATTGGCAATCACTTTATTTATACACATATGTAATCACAAATAATTGGAAAATGGTACTTTGGTTTATAGATATCATAATTAAATTAAAAATGAATTTCCTAACAGAAGCTTGTCGAGAGCATGTGCAGTACCTGAGCTCATTGCTAGGGTACATGCTTCCTGCACCCCCTGGGTTGCAGTCCCCATCACCATCCTGTGACTCAACCTCTGAGAACCAGCACTGCCTCCAGTTACACTTGTGTTCCTTTGTATTTGATGGGTAAAAGCCTTTTGTACTTTTAGGTTTATATTAGAGAGATTGTACTCCTTTGTTCAATACCAGAATTTCTGTTAATCTTAGATATACTTGATGAATTCTGTGCTAGTCTGTCTTTATGAGAAACCTTCATCTTTGTTTAATTTTCATAGTATATCCCCAGGTATTAGAAAAGCAATAGAAAATGCCCAGCTTTGGATTTGGCCATGGATTAGTTTGATTCCCAGCCTTGGCAGCTGCTGGTTAACACCTCTGTGGTTTTAGCTATTTTTACTTTTAAAGATTTATTTGTTTTTACTTGAAAGACAGAGTTACAGAGAGAGAGAAGGACGGAGCAGTCTTCCAAAAGGCCACATTGGCCAGGGCTGGGTCAGTCCGACGCCAGGAGCTCGTCAGGGTCTCCCATGTGGGTGGCAAGGGCCCAAGCACTTGGGCCGTCTTCCACTGCTTTCTCAGGCATGTTAGCAGAGGGCTGGATCAGAAGTACACCTAGGACTTGATCCAGTGCCTATATGGAATGGTGGCACTGCACGCTGTGGCCTAACCTGCTGAGCCATTCCGCTTGCCTTTGTGACTTCAGCTTTTAATCCTCTCCACTTTTGTCGCTCCCCGTCTTCATGGAGGAACGACACAGGACCCTGCGCTGTTCTTTCGTCTGCTCGGCCGTCCCCGGGTTTGCTGCTGGTTCTTCCCGGGTTGGCTACCGACCCTTCCACCTCCATGGAAGGGCGGTTCCCCCTGCCACATTCCCCACTTCCGCAGGGGAGCGGCACACCGCCGGCCGGCTCTCTCGGGGGCTGCACAGGTGTTCCCTCAGATGTTCCTCTTAGATGTTCCTGGTGCATGTTGTCTCTCTCCTCCTTTATGGTCCTCCTCCGCCAATCCCAACTCGGCTGCCCACACGCCGAGTACGCTGCTCTCCTCCAATCAGGAGCAGGTCCTACAGTTTATTGGTTGAACTGGAGGCAGCTGTGTAGAAGCTGCTTCTCCCTTCTCAGCGCCATATTGTGGGAGAGCAGATGCATAGTAAGTCTTAATTCCAGTAACTTAGTCTAGTCCGAGTTGCTCCCCACAACTTTGTTCACAGCACTCTCCTCACTGGCCTCTGCTTTCTGTTTTCCCTGCCTTTACTCCTGATGTTCCCTCCACCTAGAAACCTGGAAACTTGCCTTGCCCAGCTCTTCTTGAGGCCTGCACTTTTATGGCATACTGTCATCCCTGATTGTCCTGTTTTAAAATAACCCCTCCTGATGGCCCAAGTGCTTGGGCCCCTGCACCCACATGGGAGACCGGGAGGAAGCACCTGACTCCTGGCTTTGGATCGGCGTAGCTCCAGCCGTAGCAGCCATTGTGGGGTGAACCAATGGAAGGAAGACCTTTCTCTCCATCTCTCTCTCACTGTCTAACTCTATCTATCAAATAAAATAAAAAACCCTCCTTTATTCTCTCTCTCTTCCTCTCGTTCTCTAAAACAGACGCACGCATGCACGCACACACAAGTGCACGCACAAGTTCGCATGCACTTGTATTACTCTGTGTTCTTCGGAGCACATCACCCCTCTGGTTTATTTACTTGATTACTGTATTGCCCCTCATGTGGAACAGGGTTCCTTAGTGGGAAGTATCTATTGTGTCTGCCAATATCTAGAATACAGTAGATTCTTAAGAAATGCCTGGGAAATAGAAGTAGAAGTTAACCCCTTCAGGCCCACTTAACTATAAATTAGGAGGGATGAGACCCTCCCACATGGCTGGTGTAGGCACTTAGTGGACATGTGATAGGCTCCTTTTCCTACATTTACCCCTCTCAGTACCTAGGGATCCAAGATGACACAGCATTGTAGATTGCCTTGTCACTGTGACCTCCTACAAATGTCAGTTCTTCACTTTTGGAAATAGCAAGTGAATTGCATATCAAGTTCATGTACCTCTTGCTGGATCTGATAAAAAGCATGAATGTACTGGTACACATTGGGGTGTCCCTTCAGTGGTGCACCCTAGGTTAGAGCATTCCTGCCTGCACCAGTTGTCTACAGCTGCATACCAAGATAAAGCAAACCTTAGCAGCTTCAACAGTACCTGTTTATAATCTTAACAGTTCTCAAGGTCAGCAATCTGGACTCAGCCAGCTTCTCAGCTCATAGTCCCAAAATGTGGAAATCAGGTGTTGGCTAAGACTGGGGTCTCATGTGAAGCTTGGGGTCCTCTTCTGAGCACACATGATTGTTGACAGAATTTAGTTTCTTGAGGTTGTAGGACTTCAGCTCCTGTTTCCTTGCTGGCTGTCAGCTAGGAGTCACTGCCGGTTCCTAGACAACCACTGTCAGCTCCTCGCCACGTGGTTGCCTCCATAGACAGGACACAACGTGCCTGCTTTCTTCAAGGCCAGCATTGAATCTCTCAATTCAAAGCTGTTCTTACTGAAAGGCCCCAGTGCCTCTAACAACTTAGCCTGATACATCCCACCTTTCTAGGATAATTTTCCTTTTAATTCAAAGATGATTGATTTTGGAATCTTAAGTATATCTACCAAGCCCCATCGACTCTGTCCCATATTGTAAGTTAATCATATGAATGTCATCCATCACATTCACAGACCCACCCATACTCTAGAGGGATTATTATTGGGTGTGTACTCCAACAACAGGAGTACTGGGGACATCTCAAATTCTGCTTACTGTGCTGCTATGGATATTAATGCAAGATTTCTTTTCAGAGAGAATGATTGTCAGCTTAGTATGCTCAGCAGGTTTTTCTCTGTCAATTCAAGTGATATCAAAATCAAGTAATACCAACATATTAACGGAGACTTTTATTTGAAATCTTTATTTTATTGTATTTGAACGACATAGAAGCAGACAGAGAAGCAGACAGACAGAGATCTGCCATATGCTGGCTCTGCCCAAACGCCCACAGAACTAGGGCTGGGTCAGGCCAAAGCCATGAGCTACAAACTTAATCCAAGTCTCCCGTGTTGGGTGGCAGAGACTCTTGAGCCATCACCTGCTACCTCAGGGTATATACTAACCAGAAGTTGGAATTGGGAGCAAAGTCAGGATTGAAACCCAGGCACTATAATATGGGATGCCCACATCCTAAGCAGCATTTTAACAGCTATGCCAAACACCCACCCTGAGAAATATTTAAGATATAATTTGTTTTCGTTATCTGTAAGTTTTTATATTATGTAAAATACTTTTTATTTAAATTGGGAAAAGTATTTCCTAATTACCAGATATTAAGTATTCTTGACAAGCTACTTATTTAAGAAAACATACTACTTTTTACCCACTGTAACCTACCCTAGTGAACTGAGGGCTTGGCATGTGTACTAGTCTTGTAAAAATAAAGATCCCTATGTTTTACAGAGCAGTACAAAGGCAAGAGTGTAACTATTGTTATTCACTCTCACAGGAGCTGTGGGTTAGGTTTGTAATATGTAGTGCTGCTAGCATAGTGAACAAACTAAAAATGGTGTGATTTCCTGGACATAAACAAGCTTGCTTGTACTGAGTGAACCATCATGTAGTAAATACCATAGTGAAAGGTCTGAATGTCATGTGAGAATTCTTTTACAAATGCCCAGAATGAAGGTATGTTTTAATTGATGATTTGCTCATCTACCAAATGATACTCCTGTCTTCCAGTAAAACAACCAGTTTCCTTTTTAAAAATTACTATTTATGCCTGCTACTGTGATAAAATTAATAACTGTTGGATTTTTGGGAGTGTCCAGATATATAGCCATTGAACAAAAGTATTAGAGTCAGTGGATTATGTGAAGGAATTTACTTTTCTGGTTTAAATAATTGATTTTCCATCATAGGTTTCAGATCAGTTTTCGTATCTTCCCTGTACCTCTCACCTGAGTTTCCTAAAAGATTCCTGATATTCTGTGTTGAATTTTCTGATTCTGACCTCTCCAGAGATGCTCTGAGACTGGTGCAGTTGAAACAGACGGGCAAGATCCCTGACTCGAGAGCAGCCGCAGCTCCTGCAGTCACTCCAACAGCACCTTTGCCCCCGCAGCCCGCAGCAGCACCCTCGTGTCCTCGGCCAATGATCCCAGCAGTGTCGACTCCTGGACAGCCCAATGCAGCGGTAATGTCCCCCAAGACATTTCATAACTTCAGTACCGTGTATGTGCTGTATAATCGTGATACTTTTCCTGGGTCTGATACTAGTGGTTGGCTGCTGATGTCAGCCCCTTTGTGTGGCTGTGTTTTATTGTTTTCATTAGGGAACTGATAGTCTCACTATGGAGAGCTATGTAGACTATACCATAAAGCAGATTATCCTTCCCCTCTGATACATGCAGAATAGCAGCATTTTCTGTTTTCAGATTACTCCCAATTTTTTCCTATCTCCCGTTACTGGTACTTCCATTGTGATATTCTTCCCATCAGAGGGAATGTTTATTTAAAATTGAACAGGCAGTTAGGAAGAAAAGAAAAGCAAATAAATCTGTACTGCTGTATTCCATTGACCAAGATGATATGAAAATGGTACTAATTTCATGGGAAACAGATTTCTTTTTTAATTTTTTAAATTTTTTTAATTTTTTTTTTTTTTTACTTATTTGACAGGTAGAGTTAGACAGTGAGAGAGAGAGACAGAGAGAAAGGTCTTCCTTCCGTTGGTTCACTCCCCAAATGGCCGCTATGGCCCGCGCACTGCGCCGATCTGAAGCCAGGAGCCAAGTGCTTCCTCCTGGTCTCCCACGTGCGTGCAGGTGCCCAAGCACTTGGGCCATCCTCCACTGCCTTCCCGGGCCACAGCAGAGAGCTGGACTGGAAGAGGAGCAGCCGGGACTAGAACCCGGTGCCCATATGGGATGCCGGCACCGCTGGCAGAGGCTTAGCCAAGTGAGCCACGGCGCTGGCCCCTGGAAATGGATTTTTAAATATATAGTGATTCATGACTGCATACACCAAAACTTTATGGGTGGTCAAATCTCATTTTTTTAAAAAGTAGGTTATTCCATTCTAGCCTGTAATCTTTGCTTTCAAATTCTTATGGTATATAGAAAGCATTTATTCTATTTGATTCCAGTCCCTTGTTGACATAAAATGTTGAATTCCTTAGGAGAGCATTGGTACAGAAGAAATCTGTTGTGCTTTTGGCTGCTTTATATTATGTTAAAATAATTGTAATCTTGTCCTGGAATAGAATGATATAATTAGATGTAACAGGAAGTTCTTCCTGCTTTTATGAATAAAGGACCAGAATGAAAAGCTACACTAGAGTTACAGGAAGATTTTATTATCTCATTCATGCTTTATATTTTGTATTCTTAGGAGATAGGATATTCATGCGATTTTTTTATGAATTGAAAACCAAAATAGGAATAATTTGGCATTCCATCTATTATGTTGGGTTATCTTTTTTGCTGATGTAATTTTCATCAGAATTACCTGTAGTTCGTTTGTTGACTTAGTGACTGTTTTGAATTTTATTAAATGATGTTTGTAATGAAAGCTGCTGTTAGGCAGCAGTTCTTTGTTTCTCTTTTGCTTCCTCTATGTGAATGTGTGTGATTGTGTGTGTATAGACTATGTATAAATATATGTACACACATGTAGTCATATATACCCATGGGAGAATTGATAGAATTGTGTTTAGTCATATTGAATATATTAACACATTCACAACTAAAACGTGAATTTTACTATTTTTTTCTACAGTTGTATACCATAAAGCCAAAAACTTCAGATTTCTTATATTTTCCTTTATACTAAGAATATTTAGTAGTATTTTTCCTATTTTCATTTTTGATTGCCATCATAAGTTAAATCAATGTGACCAGATTTTATTTAGGGAGGATTTTTTATTCCCCATTCTGCTTTTGGTTTAATGAACCTGTGGCAGGGACCCCTGCTATTAAGGAAGTAAAAAACTAAACAAAAAAACAGTAAATGCTTTTAAGCAGGGGCTTTCTGAGACCAGCAGTTGGGGGCAGCTTTCTGAGAAATACTGCAATTGGAACTAGGTCAACTAAAGCAAATCGAATGCTTGCAAGTGTAACTTCGTGTGATGGTTGTATAAGCAGTGCTACAGCTGTTAACTAGCCAATCAAATATGTATAACCAAATACATTCAAGTTGTATGTGCTAGGGTATGTAAGACAACATCCGACTTTGTTCAGGGCCCAGAATTTTGGAGACAAAACTCTCCTCTGCATCTACCAGCAAGATTAAAAGCTGTTTTCCTGTAAGAGCCTCCATGTCCCAGGTCTCTGAGATTCCCGCTACAAACCAATTGCTGTTTATTTGCAGGGCACATTCACTGAAATCCCTGCAAGCAATATTCGAAGAGTTATTGCCAAGAGGTTAACTGAATCTAAAAGTACTGTGCCTCATGCATATGCTACTGCCGACTGTGACCTTGGAGCTGTTTTAAAAGTTCGACAAGCTCTTGTCAAAGGTTGGTAAAATTGAATTTACTTAATGTAGTGCTTACACAAACTTAGCTATCAAAATATCCCCTATGTATGAAATGTGTGTTGTGTAGCTTTTAATTTTGTTTCATAATGAGCTTGCACTTTACTCTGGATGTATTTTAGTTTACTTATTTTTTTTTTAAAGATTTGTTTATCAGAGAGAAAGAGAGAGCAGTATCTTCCATCCACTGATTCGCTCCACAGATGGCTGCAACAGCCAGGGCTGAGCCAGCCCAAAGCCAGGAGCTTCATTCAGCTCTCCCACGTGGGTGCAGGACTCAAGCACCATCACACCCATATATTGTACTATTCCTGTCATGTTTTGCAAGTATTATTGTATGATATAATCCCCAGAATACTTGTTTAATATTTTCTGTTTTAGCAAATTAACTGCCTTTTTTTAAAGAGTTTCAAAATCAGGGAAAAACAATAGATTTTGTTTCCATATTTTTGCCATTCTCTTCATTATGCATGTTTTTGTATAAACCTAAAGTGCTGTGTGCTACTGTATTTATTCTTCCCCAAAATGTCCTTTGAGGCCGGCGCCGCGGCTCACTAGGCTAATCCTCTGCCTAGCGGCGCCGGCACACCGGGTTCTAGTCCCGGTCGGGGCGCCGGATTCTGTCCCGGTTGCCCCTCTTCCAGGCCAGCCCTCTGCTGTGGCCAGGGAGTGCAGTGGAGGATGGCCCAAGTCCTTGGGCCCTGCACCCCATGGGAGACCAGGAAAAGCACCTGGCTCCTGGCTCCTGCCATCGGATCAGCGCGGTGCGCCGGCCGCAGCGCGCCGGCCGCGGCGGCCATTGGAGGGTGAACCAACGGCAAAGGAAGACCTTTCTCTCTGTCTCTCTCTCTCACTGTCCACTCTGCCTGTCAAAAAACAAAAGAGTATAAAGAGAAAAAAAAAATGTCCTTTGATGTTTCTTTTTTTTTTTTAAAGTTTTTAGCATTTATTCAGAGAAAGAAATACACAAGAAAGTAAGGGATTTCTTTATTTAGTGAAGAAAGAAGTCGAGAAGCATAAGCTGGGTCCATACCAGGCAGAGAACAAGCCAGGAGTCACGCGGAGCAAAGCATGCAGCTAGGAGCAGCCACAGGTAGTGTAGCACCAGCAGGAAACCAGAGGCGCAGGACAAGGGAAGGAAGGGCCCACCGTGCTCCAGACCTTTTCTTCACTTCCAAAGGGGAGTGGTTACATAGTCTGATTGGCAAGTGGGCGAACAGGTGAGGTCAGGTAGGGGTGTGAGTTCACAAAAGGGGGCAGGGCCAAGGTGTGGTCTCCATAGCTTATAAATCTAATCAATTTAATCCTATCTGCCTGCTTATATCATTCCCCCTTCAGAGATTCCAGACCTCAATCTTTAGGGATGCTGAAGGGTGTAGTATCACCATATCTTCTATAGCTCCTTCCTGCTTATCAGGGTCATAGGCCCCAACTGTCCTAGGTCTGCCAGTCTTTTGCTATCTCTTCTAAGGAGTTTGTTTCATGAGTCAGAGTACTCTCAGTCACTGCCAATGGCTGTGTCCCTTGCATGGACAGTTATTCTCAGAAGTTGTTGAGTTCTGAAACATGTAAGTTTATCAGTCAACATAAACAATACTGGAACAAAACCAATTGCAAGTGAAGTGCCCCTTAGCTTGGAAAGAACATATCTAACAGACTCCCAGATAGTGGGTGGTGGTAGGCTACCATTATGCAGATTATAAAGCCATTTAGTCTGAGCATGGAGAATTATAATTGAAGAACTCATTAAGGAATTTTCTGCCGATAACAGTTTCCAGAGAAAATCAAAAGGAAATATAGTGTGTCTGCCTTAAGGTGCAGCAGTCTTGATGTCACGAAAGCAAAAGCTTTACTTACCTTTTTGGTTTTGGGATAGATATTTAAGAGCTTTGATTGGCTTACAGGAATAATACAAGTCTTTTGAGTTCACTTGTGAAGACTCAAGAGTTAGAAACTTAATCCTAATTTCAGTGAGGTATTCATACTCAGTAGCACTTGGTAAGGTCCCTTCCATTTAAGCTGCAACTGATTTGAAAGGGATCTCTCTATAAATAAGGTGAATGGCTTACTCAGGGATTCCTGATGTTGGAGTTTCTATTCCAAGCTCTTTAATTCTTTGGAACATCTATTTTAGCTCCCTTGCCAGCACAGTATGTCTGTGTCAGGGTCTTTTAAAGCTTCATACAAAGGCTTGGAATCCATATTCCACAGAATCCTGCCATTCCCAGGAATGTCCTTAGCTGCTTTTTAGTCTGTGGTAACCCTATACATTGAATAGCTTCCTTTCTCTTGACTTAAAGAGCATGTTCTCCTGGGGTTAGAACATAACCCAGGTAATCTACCTCTTGTTTAAAATCCTGAGCTTTTGTTGGGGAAATTATTTATCCTCATGTTCCCAGATTCTGGGTTTAATAGAATGCAGAAGAAATTATCCCTTAGGCAAAGGTGTAGCATGCAATAATATGTATTAGAACAGCTGCCTTAATGGCCCTGAGACCTTTAACCATTCTGTACTGTCCATTTGACTTTAAAACAGACAAGATAGGAGTATCATAGGTAGACATGGATCCAAGAATCTATGTTTGAGAAATTTAATTAACATTAAAGAAGCACCTAAGAATAATAACAACTCTCACAAGCAATGAGTTGGACACTTAGACATAATTAAAATTTATTAGACCTAAGAGTATCTTCTACTTAATGAATTAAAACAAAATAAATCTTTGAGAATATGTTTTACCATTAATTTTTTTTAAAGATTTATTTATTTTATTTGAAAGGCAGAGAGAGAGAGGTCTTCTATCTGCTGGTTTACTCCCCATATAGCCACAGCAGCCAGAGGTGCACCAATCTGAAGCCAGGAGCCAAGAATGTTTTCCGGGTCTCCCACGCAGGTGCAGGAGCCCAAGGACTTGGGCCATCCTCTACTGTTTTCCCATGCCATAGCAGCGTGATGGGTTGGAAGTGGAGCAGCCAGGACTTGAACCAGTGCCTATATTGGTTACCAGCACTGCAGGCAGCGGCTTAACCTACTAAGCCACAGTGCTGGCCCCTTACCATTAATTTTAATACTGTAACTCCTTGAGGACAGAGGTCCTGCATGGGGAGTTAGTGCACAGTAACTCCTGTTGTTAATTTAATAATTAACACTCTTATGTATGATGTCAGTGATTACCTGAGGCTCTTGACATGAGCTGCAAAGGCTATAGAAGCCTTTTGAATCTACACGCTCCATCAGTATTTAGACAAGGCCATAAGCAAAGTGGATGTTCTCTCCTCCCTTCAGAGAAAAGAACATATTTCCTTGATGACCACTTCTTTCCACTGGTGCCTCACCCACAGAGATCCTTTATGTAGGGGCAGTTTTTATTCTGATGCCCTGGGTTTCCATGCCTGAAATGCTTTTTTGGGCTTTTCAGCTAGACCATAATGCCTTTAGGGCTGACTCTGAAGTCAGAGTGCTACTTAAAGCTATTGCCATTCTATGAGTCAACTGTATGGGCTGCTTCCCATGTTGGAGTATTTGCTATTATTACTAAACACCTAATCCTATTTATATGATCACTTTAATACTTTACCCTATCTATATGATCACATTAACACTTAATCCTATCCATGTGATCACTTTAACACTGAAAAAATGCTGTTTTGCCATTCAACTCGAGGGGATTTGGGATCTCATGGCAAGTTTTTAAACTGTATCCTTAGAAGTAAGTCCATAGGAATGTATGCAGAACTATACAGCTTTACAGTCTCTTTGTAGGACCTGAGAAGATAAAAACAGACACAGCTCTTCAGAAGCTTTAATTATCTTTAAGCATATGACGTGGATACATTGCATTAGTTGTAATTCCTTAAGTGTGTGAGTTGGATACATTGCCTTAACTACAATTCTGACACCTTAGAGTTGCCATTTATATACCAGATGGGGTCCATTATTTTACCAAGCCCAGCGAGTTGGTTTTAAATTATTTTTCTCCTTTTTTTATAATTGTTTTTAAAACACCACTTAGTCTGCAAAACATTATTCCAGACTGCCATGTCACTCCTCTCAGGAGGCCAAGAGAATGCTGGCAGGTCTGAGATGAAATCTCGGTAAGCCAGCCATTCCTGAGATAACAAACCACAGGAGGCTCAGAGAGTCAGTGTAAAACAAAATAACAAAGTAATAAAAACAACATTAGAGCTGTGATCCACATACAGCTAAAACAATAAAAAACAGTGTTAAAGCCTTCATCATAAAGCTAAAACAGGAATAACCAGGATTAAAGCCAAAATAACAAACTACAACTTTAGAAACCATAATAAAAAGTCATTCTTAATCAGATATGTGACATGCATGCCATGGGAAGGGCACCATCTTGGGGTAGAGTCTCTTGCCCATGTTCCAGTAAGGGCGGAAGTTCCCATGGGGGCCACCTTCTTGGAGACCTCATGTCCTTCATGGGGGCCGAGGCATCTTGGCAACCACATGTTTTTGATGGAGGTGTCATCTTGGCATGGAAAGCTCTACCCTCTGCATTGGGAAGTGCGCCTCTGCCATGTTTAATGCTCCAGCTACCTGATGTTATCAGGTTACCAGACAACCAGACCAGTTCCCCAGCTAGAAATTGCCCATTGAAAGCATTCCTGATTTGAAAACCAAAGACCCTGAGGCAAACCAGAATTTTAGGTACAGCTTAAACACATACATGTAACAAAAAAGAGTTTAAGGCCGGCGCTGCGGCTCACTAGGCTAATCCTCTGCCTCCAGCGCCGGCACTGCAGGTTCTAGTCCCATTTGGGGTGCCGGTTCTATCCCGGTTGCTCCTCTTCAGTCCAGCTCTCTGCTGTGGCTCGGGAAGGCAGTGGAGGATGGCCCAAGTGCTTGGGCCCTGCACCCGCATGGGAGACCAGGAGGAAGCTCCTGGCTCCTGGCTTCGGATCGGCACAGCACTGGCCACAGCGGCCATTGGGGAGGTGAACCAAAGGAAGGAAGACCTT